TATATATATATGGATGCAGCTGCCTACTTAATAAAAATTACTGTCCACACAATTATTTCAAGTCAAATTTCCGAATATATCCACCACGCAAACCGTTGTGGCATGCATGAACTTTACCTGTTTCACATTTTTCTTGCACGAAATGTGTATTGCTTCTCTTTAGAAAAAGTTTCTGTGTGGCGGCGAGAATTACGCCAAGAAGAGGAATTGAGCACCAAGTTACAACGCGGAGTCCGACTGTAATGGATTTGCCTCTGTCCTTTCTCCTACGACTTCGTCTCCACCGTGTTGGGATTCGAGGCTTAACGCAAATAGTTCACACCGGTGTCTTCTCTCCATCCCCAGTTCATAAACTCAGACCAATAACTTCGCAGTCCGCCGGCTCACTCACGGCTCTTCAAACTACGTACCAATCCTAAACACAGCTCACTTAGTATACCAAGTACAACACTCGTCTCCCTGCATTTTTTCATCAGATTCCCCGCAATTTTCGCTCCAATCCGCCGCGTTCTACTCTTGCTTCGTGCTGTCTGCGGATGAATGTCTCTGTGATGCATAATGTTCCGAGAAACTCATCACGTAACTGCTCTGTCCTCCAAGGTCCTAATCATTCCATGTCATTGTGTAGGTAAGCTTCTTGGTGTGCAGTGGGCTGCTTCTGTTGCTTCCTGAGGCTATTCCGTTTCTTTCTGGTCTTGACCATGCTATGCAAACACAAGTTTCAGACAATCTGTTTACAGCCATCGTGGGCATCTACATACCGCCACATTGGAATCCGTTCCTCTGTCACTCAAGCCACAGCCATTCAGTCTTCTTGTGGTATGGTTTTTATCGCGTTTCATAGTTTCAAAATGCAGATAGTTGTGGTCTTTCTTCAAGTACTTACTTCCTGTCGGCCAGTGACGCGTACGTTTATTTGGGTGTATCTACGCATTTGTACGTGTGTGCTTCTGGGCAAACTAACCTCGGATCCAGTCGCTAATGTGCTATTGTTCTCTTTGTGTGAGTTATGTGGTCTCTGTCAGACATTAATAAATGGAGCTAATCAACCGCATTTCGTTCCTTATTCTTCGCTAAAACCCTTTCGCACAAATCTTCGGTGTTACTGTACACTTTGAATGGCATTGTTACTGAGCGGTTCTCTGATCCGTTGCCCTCCGATTTCGCTGTTTATCCAAATCGACTGTCGTTATTGAGGTCGACACCACACATCTGGTGACGTTTTTAAGGTTAAAGTGGTCATACGAAACATTTGGAGACGGTGAAGTATAAGATAACGTTTACGCCGTATTGTTAATTTGTCTTGCTTCCTGTCAAAGAGCTCACAGTGCAGAAAAACTCAGCACGATTAATTCACACTGTTAAATACTGGTTCGCCAACTGTAACTGTCTTATTCGCTTGGATTTGGATTCCGCCTACTCGAAAATTTCTGGTTTTTCCGGCAGTAGATATCCGATGGATGGCACGTGTCCAAACCTTTCAAGTTACTGAGCCCGTCCAAACTAATCTCTGTCCGGAGACCTGTTTATAATGTGACTATCAAGTGACCACCAGTTGGATTGAGCTGGTTGAGGTATGTGCACGCCAACTGGATACGATGTCTGTCTATCTTACGTCCACATTGTTACATTCACTGTCCACGCACTTTGTTTACTGGTGTCGAAGTTACAGCTTTCACTCGGTAAAGTAAGGTTCATGCGACTACTTCGCATTTTAGGTGACTAGTTCAACCTCTTGGATGAACAAGGTTGTATACTACTGACGGGCTGTAATCAGAATGACGCTCAAATTTCTGTTGACCAGTAAAATACCCGCGCTAGAAGAGTGGGAAGCCCAGTTAAGTAAGACCAGTCTGAATTAAAATTCAATTGATTCTTCTCTGGAAGTAAAAAAAGTGTGTGAAATTGATGCCATTAATTAGAACTCCTGTGGCGACATTCCTGAAAAAACGGGGTCGTGTGACACTGTATTGAAATCTTACATTGTCAGGAGTGTTGAAAGTATACGGGGAAAACAAGCTGAAAGTAGAACACCAACGAAAATATCTCCCCAAAAATCACCCTGTACTCAATATATGAATTGCAATGATCCGAGAGTAACTGATCCGGTCAGGGACTGGGAAATATGTACGCGAAGTGTGAATATTTTCACTCAAAGAACATGGGGAGTAAGCACCAGAACTGGTCCAATCGTTCGTGATTGGAAAATTCGGTACCTCGGTTGTGCTTTATTGCTTCTCCAGACGGACCAAATCCAGGTAAATGGTGAATTAGCTGTTGTGTTGTTTATCGGTGTCGTGGATGCTGATGTTAGTCATGTCACAGCCTTCGCTACACTGGGACGTACCAACTTTGCGGAGAAGAACCGCTAATGATGAGTTTCCTCAGTCTAGTAGGCCATAGTTCCTGAGAATGACTTACCGATTAATGGTGGTCAAGCCACTGGGTAGCTTTGCATTTTTGAGTAATACAAGAGTTTTGAGCAAGGCTGTATATGGTGTTACGTGCAACCCTTCCGTGCCCTTGTGAACCCGATTGAGTATGAGTGGTCCGCAATTAGTTAGAAACCAGTTGTAAGTCAACGACCCACCCAAACGTAATGACATGATAACGAGAAATATCTTCAGTTGTTTTGAATGTTCAGGAATTTTTCTTATAACATAATGTAACAACCCTCTTTGAGGGGTGGTCATTTCTGCTCAATTTTGAGGAGCTATATGGCTGTATATCAATAAGAGAATGAACAGTAGTCCTGTCATATCACTGATGACAGAAGATTGTCGTGTAGTGTTCGGAAATTAGAGCAATCTGATTGCAGACAACCGGTGACTGCATTCGTAGCCATTTAGCGTAGGTAGGCTGGTCTGGTGGGTTTTGTTTTGCCTTTGCATTCGAATTCGCAAGCTACGCAGTTCCGCGTTTCGCTTGATACTACCAGAATGACTCGCTTGCTTTCGAACCTTGTGATACGTTGTCTTATAGTTTACGATTCCGCCCATTCTTTCTGAAAACCTGAAACCAGGGTCTTGATGCTGTTAAGTTACATCCAAGCCAATGCGTTGCGAAATTAAGGCTGTTCTGGTGCTCGAATGCGGTTAATCGACTGACTATAGATAGCTTATCTGAGAATACAGTTTCCGATCTTTAGTCCTACGCGACAAATCAATGGGAGCTGGTTATTCATTGGGCTGTATTCATTCCCGTTGATGTTGACCTTCGAAATTTTCTGCGTAGGATGCTTGTTTCTTACAGGTTATCTTAGTAATCAGGTTTGTGGAATTTGAATTAAATCGATCAACTATTCTAATGCAGACAAAACGCGTCAGTATTTTGCTGCTGAACAAAGGTGGTGCTCGTAGTGCAGGAAGAAACACTGTATTTGCCCAAACAAACCGTCCACGTGGTTCACTATAGAACATCAGGTATCTCTAAGGGTTGCCAATGGGGTCGCGGAAGTCCGCATAGCACGCAAGTACTGCAACCTTTCATGTTACATGTGCGCTTCTGTAATGATCTATTCCGGGTTGCTTAACAGAACTTACGTTATTCGTAGGTCAAAACTAAGTAATACAGGGACAAGTGTTGTATATGGTGGACGATATTTTGCCTCCGGATGTACACTTCCACTAAAACCTGTATGGCTGTTTCCCAATACATCGGATGTCCATTCTGTTTTCCAGGTTGAGACGTTTACTTCTTCAACTTTGAATCAAACTTCCACAGCTGAAAACATCGAAAGCAGACGCTGGTCGGCTGTCATTCAAAGCCGAACCCAGCATAGGGGAGCGATATAGTGAAGCTTGATAGGAGGAAGCAGCGATGGATAACTGTCGAAACGCGAACACACAATTCAGATGGTTGTCATTACTTTATCATCCAAGCAACCATTCATCTGTGCTTCGCCCACTGCAGTGAACCTGTTGACCGTAGTTTTGAAGTTTGTGCGGACAGACCGAGGTGGTTCGAGCGATGCTCACTTCTGGAACACTGAATCGACTGTTAGTCCCAGGTCCTGATGTGTCGTAAGCAGAAGTTGACGGTTTTCACTCATGGCTTAGCTTAGGCATCTGACAACTAAGGATTATTTATTTGACTCTCAATACTTTTACGCACAATGGTGCAATTTGACTGACACCGGACTGTATTAGAGTTATTTTGGCCGTAGTATCGGAGGCCAGGGAACAGTCATATTGACTAGACTAGTTCGCATACTAACCAATGAGTAACCTTCCTACTTGGCTCGCCAAAGGGTGCACTTTCAATAAGGATATCAGCCTATTATCACTAGATATGTATGGTTTGCAGAAGCGTACGAAATCGCGTCACCTTGGGTCCTCTATATTAGAAGCTACTTTTATCGGCCGGATACTTTGTTATTTGGGCTACTCACGGAGAAGAATTAGCATGAACCCGGCCAGAGGCCAGATGTTACCTCGTCCATTGACTTCAGAAACCAGGAATCAATTCGGTAGAATGATAGGTTTGTATATTTTTCAACTGCAACCATCTGAATGCTGGGTTCTCTTCACTCCAAATAAGCTGTCTCGTGCTGGACGCTGGCAAGTTGTTAGACAATATCCAATCTATATGACGCGTTGCGTATGAACTGTATTCCGTTCTCGCCACCCAGTCTGACCAATCTTTGTGAAACTCCACTTAAGTTACGGAGCAGACTAGAAATCACTAGATATTTTCACAGCGGGTTGCTTTCTACTGACAATCCTACCAGCACTGCTTCCACACTCCTGAGCTTTTTCCTGTGAGGTTTCAACTATCACTGCTCCATCCCGAACAAATGCTCACGTACCGGGTGGGTACCAGTTATGTTATGTGCTACTTCACATGGCGATCAAAGCCATTAGGACAATCACTATTGGGTTGGTGGCTCAGTGGTGTGGAAGGGCTGAATTCATGGTTTCCGTAGTAATAACTGAACCACATCCCAGAAGACATTGCTATACTTTGTTTTCTCCGAATGTTGTTTTCTAGGACGTACTGTATAGGGAAACACAATAGCTGAATCCAAGCACTTGACATCACAAGACATCAGGGTGTCAAAATCATCACATACTAAGGCACTTGATTCTACAAAAGTCTAATCAAGCCATCATAGTAATGACGATGAAAAACACCCGCCTTGTTGGTGGCTAGAAGCGTGTTTATGCAAGTTCAATTCGCCATTAAATTGCAGTCGGTGAATGGCAGGCGTATGTAAGTAGGAAGTGACATACTTGATGCGTTTGAACCAGCTGGAGATCAATGGCAGCTTCGTGAGTAGCGATAGTCTTGTAGCTATTTAGCTCTGTTAATGTAATTCTGCGCCACAAGCCATTTTTGGCAGCTAACTAGTTTGTTATCCTGTAACTTTGTACTACTTTGAAAAATCCAAGCGATCAAGTATCGCACCATTCCCCTTGGCCCATTCAAAGTGGACGCTGCCAGGCCACTAACGACCGTAGGGAACTTTCTAAAGTGAGAAATTCGTCTTCGGGTGGAACTGGGTTTTGTTTGTCCCGAAATAAGCAATGAATCTTGAGAAAATTCATTTCATGACGGCTGTGATAAACTAGGGATGTGGCGAGCACTATATATATATATATATATATAACCTAGTCAAAGCAGTCACGTTTCGGCAGAGCCTTATTTGTGCTCCCGAAGAAAGTGATCCAAAGTGGTGGGAATGAATTATCGTACAGTAAAACGTGCGTAAACTAACAAGTAGTTCTCAACCACTCTGTCCTGTGAAGTACGTCATTTTCTGTGTCCCATTCAGTCGGCGGTGTTCAAGATAGCTGAGGTCCTGCAAGGAGATAAATGAAAAAGTTATAACCGTTACACAGGTCACCAATCCCAATGGACATACTGTGCGTAAACAATAATTTTCCTTAGACTTACTGATAGGTACAATCCGTCCCGTCTGAACTCGGCATTTTGGAGCACCAGTTTTTCCATTTCTTGTTCCATTTCTTTGATACTCGTGTTCATTCTGATGATCTCGTGGCGTAACTCACAACTCTTTTCATAGGTCTCTTCTGCTTGCTTCAGAATGAGATTAAGAGCATTCTGGAAAGTACGAAATGTAGAGAAGTTGGACATTTGGTTGAAAAACGGAATTGAATCACAAGATTTATATGATACAGTAGTTCGTGTAATGCTGTTTAGGTAAACTGGCGTACGGAACTAACCTTCGTTGGCTAGGTGGCAATGTTAAACGATTTCCAATTGAGGTTCCTGATGACCTTTAAAATATTGAGTTTTTATCGAAAGTGAAGCCTGGATTCTGAAGGGGGTCAGTTCGACCACCTTTTCTAGGAGTTCGATGTGTCTAATTTCAAATACCGGGAAAATGACATACCTCAGATATTAGTCCCCGCATACTTGCGGAAACACTCTTTAAGTTTACAAGCGACTTAATAGTGTCCCAGAGTTTTTGGGTTACGGGGGGATTTTAAGTCTTCAATGGAGCTTACTTTACAGTACGTCATTTTCGACCTCAAAAGTGCGCGTCCTGCACTTATCTGGAGTAATTCGACCCGAATAGTAGATGAACACTATAGCATTCAACCAAGAGTGGCTGACCGGAATCTCCATACTTTTGGCCAAAACACCGCTGCCTCAAATATCCTCGGATGTTTGTGAGGTTCACAATACTGATGATTACAACTAAGACCGAAACAGCATTCGATGCCTTCTGTTTCTCTGAAAGGTATGTTTCACTCCCAGATTGAAATCCATAATAGAGTACCCTAGTGATTAGCTGATCGCTTACTACATAATCAGACACAAGTTCAGATCCAGAAAGCAGTTATAGAATGCATATTCTCCATGGCTGTGACGTAGTAAGCCAAGACTAGCAGTTAATTGATGTTTCGTTCATCACCCCCCACGGTTTATCCCATCTCCTCCAGGAGAGTTGTGGGTATTATAAAGAAAGACAAATATTTTAGCAACAGCTCACGATCAATTTCATCTAGCGTCAATTCAATGTCTAACCAGCTCGCAACAGCTAATGTATGGATACTCCTCATGGGAAGAAAGTAATAAGTGAAAATTCGAAGGTGAGGCTTTCGAACTGAGTACATCAAACCCCGGATGATTTTGAACGATTTCCCCTGATTTCTTGGATAGGAAGACTGCACTTCTTTAAACACCAGCTCGGCCTAATATCAAGAAAACCGTTTCACTTAGTAAAAACTTGGTTACAGTGCATAAGAAACGAGCGGTTCCTTCAGATTTTATAGGTAGATTGTATTATTATACAGATGAGTAAGTTACTGTCTAACGTTGGCAAAAAGCCAAGTCGAGTCTCCATTCAGCTATCTTAAGATGATCGCCTAAGAAACACCGGCTTATCAAATACAGTAGTTGGTGCGAAATGAAAAAATAGCCTTTTACAAAATAAACTGTGAGTAGGGATTTTATTATTTTTCTACCAAAACCAGGGTACCCGTGAGCAAACTCTGATACCAGTATGTCTTTAGGATCTTTCAGTTAACCTTACCTTTGGTGCCTCATCGTTGGTGCTTCGAATCCGTGCCTCTGACTCTAACCTTAGATTCTCGTACTTGAGGTTGAAATCTTTCCCAAGACGATCGAGCTGCTTAGCGTATTGAGCACGCAGTAAATCGTTTTCCTTTTCCAACCGAGCAAGTTCATCCTCCTGTTCTTTGCGTACCATCTTGAAAGAAAGGGTGCATTACTCGCTTTTAACCGAAAGCTCACACCTAATACACACTTGCTTTCCACTTCCCCACTTCCTTGAATACATAAAACTTGACAGCACAACCATTCACGCAGATTATAGGGGGACTAGACAGTGCCACGATTTACCTGTGTTATACGTTCAAATAAGCAAAGAGCACAAAGCAGAAGGTCAGTATGGGTGTGAATTTTATTTACACTATTTGATCGCGCGTGCTACTTTAGTTATAAGGTTACAATGTATTATAGACTGTGTACCTTCTGTTATAGCTCAGTCAGCGACTATAGACGTTTGAAGAACCAAACAACAACCAGACTAGATCCTAAGGCATGCTAATGGAGACAGATGACTAGACGATCGGACTCTCAGGAACTAAATATGGACAGTCAAAAGGAACTAGATTGTAGTATAAGTTTAGTTCTAGGTGTATAACTTCTCTGCACCTCTTTGAAAGCACCATTCTTATCCACGACTGCGCGCACATATGGACCTGTGAATGGTCTAAGTGACTGATGGTGTGCCTCTAGGTAACGTATGTTTCTGGAGGTACTTGCCGTTCTTTCCGTCCTCATCGTTCTAACCAACCAACTTTGCCTAATTTACACTTAAGATTCTACATGTACTCTCAAGACTTTCTCGGACAAAAAGAATTCTAACTGTTTATCATCTCAGTGAACTTCTAGCATCAAATTATGATGAAAGATGAATTGACCAATCAAAGGACATTAGACCGCCATTTTGAATGCCCGAATAGTGTCTGTGTATCATGTTTAAGCAGCCTTGACTGATCACGCCCATAACACAAAGAATATCTTAGAAGATTATTTACATGCGTTTCTTCAGCACGATCAGGTTTCTGAATATACCACCAGTTAAAACGTCCTATGCACAAAGTGTACTTTATTAACCCGATACTTCACTCACAGGCCTGTCTCCGATAACCCATTGTTTAGGGTGGACTCCAGGTAAGTTCCGCTGTCCCAAACACGTTTAACGAACTGATGTACCTCCTTTGAAGCTTGGCAACACAGAGACAGTGGTTTGTATGTACAAGCCATGAGCGACCTAAAGCACGCTACTCTTGTTTAGGACGGTCAGCAGCTGTTTCAAGAGTTTTCTGTATCCTTACAGGAGAACAAAATGAGCAGCATAAGCTTACTCCACTCCGTTACTGCAGCCCTAACAACAACGGTTGCTGAGGGTAGACTAAACACCCGTCAGCGATCCAATAAGCCTCGCAAATGAGATGAAGATCTAATTAGTATTCATTACCATCGCTCGATTTCGCCCCAAAGTTTTCCTTTGTTTAGAGTGGTCAAGGAAAACAAAAATCTGTGTGCATAATTGTTTTGGAATCAAATTTATTCACATTTCGCAGTTGTGAAGCGAAAACCGGCAGTTAAGATGCCCACATCTGCCAAAATGGTGCTTTCTGGGGCAAATAATTTTTTGTAGAACAATGCACTGTCATTGATAGGCCGAATTTCTGAGCAAAGAGAAATTAAAAAAGCCCCCTCATTCATCTATTCATCTTCAACCATGAACACCACATACCTGTTATACGGCGGCTGTACGCATTACGGTTTCATTCGCTGCTGTTCTGAGTGGAAACAAGCCAGGAGATCAAGCGAAATTCTAGCAGCGACGTCTTGACAGTGATCACCAGCAAACTCATTTGCGCTGGTCATTGCCGTCTCCATGGACATTAATGGTTAAAGATATTAACAGACATGGCACAGTAGTGCTCAGTGGCATGCCTGAATCCAAGCAGTTGCCTTCAGTGCAAACAGCTTCCCATCCCGATCTCCCTCTCATTTATTGGAAAGTAATGCACTGGAAGTTGTGAGCCCGATTAATAAACATACTTGTGCGTATCGGATAAATAAGCTTTTACCGCTTTATTTGCTTTTTAACAATCACAGATAGAACGTATCAAATGAGTGTTCATAAAGTGGATGTAGCTGTTACGGGGTTTCGGTAATATCTCCGCAGCTATTCGTCCGTTTGGAGTGATTCGAACTTTGTTTATGCGAACTTAAAACACCTAAATATGCTATAATTAGTGTGATACACCCAAATGATGTACTGCGACATCTCGAATACCTTATCGGCTGATACACGAGGCTGTCTTATGTAGAACACGCGGTTGAGGACAAACATTACAAACGAGATATTCAGCTGTCTGTAGTTGAGCCTCCCGCTGAAACTAGCTAAATGTGCAAATGAGAGCATTTTGCGAACTCTATCCATTTCGGGTCCGAGGTCGACGGAAACTAACGGGCATCGCTTGCTTCATGAGTCCTAAAAGGGGCAAAATCGGCGCTGTCGAAGACTTTTATGAAACTTTATAAGTAGGATGCTATTTCTAATGCAATTTACTAATTTTACGTAAATGGAGGGACTTCAAAGGAGAATTAAGGCACAGAAACTCTCCTGATTAACTGTTGTTCTGCATAGGCATTTAACTGTGGCAGTGACTAAAAGTCGCATGAATGCCTGTGGAATAAAGAATTACCTTTAACTCGTCCATATTCGCCAGTTTGTCCTTCGCCTCCCGTAACCTTTCTGACTCTTCTTCTAATATCTTGAGAAGGTCTAAAAAGATGGAAAATGCAACAAACCATGAAAGCGTACCCTTCGTTTTCAGATCATACTCCTCGAGCATTTGATGCCTTTTTTCCTCCAGCACTTGAATGGTTTTCTTGTGAAACGCATTTAGAGTAACTGGCTGTTCTGCTCTTAGTTGAAATTTCTTTGCAAAGTAGCACAGGTATTCGTTCTGAAGAACTCATTTTGTACCGGTTTGGGACTTACGTTTCTGGTTCCACTGTTTTCAATCAGCTGATCCACAGTGATAATTTTTTTCTGCCTGTCGAAAACAAAAACTATGTGAACGAAATGTAAACACACAATTCCTGAATTTCATCTCGAGCACGCTCAAGTTCCATACTAACACTAATCAATCTGAAGCGTAAAAGGAATACGAACACGATGGTACTCATTGTTTAAAATGGACTGTTTTTCGGCCTCCAGTTTCCTCATGAACTCTTCGTCAACCGAAACAGGCTTGTCTTTTGCTCCCTCACTGGTGTTTCTTTTCCTGTTTCGTTTCGGCATCTCGCAGTAGTCCTGTGCGTACACTGTGATTGAAAAAGCTCTAAAACGAGGTATGACGCCAAAGCCACATCATGTAAAACAATATAGTAAATAGCAAAGATAAGAAATTGTTAGATGTTGTTGAAAAAATTGGTTTGCAGGTTACTCAGCTTTCATGGTTGAAACTCAGCGGATGTTTAATAGTTCAGACCAGTTGGTAGGGCTGTTGCGGACAGGATGTCCTAACTGGCCCTAACAACGTAAGGAAGATCCTGTCGTAATCCACGTAGTCCGTGTTTAGCTGCCTTCGGCGATTGAACTTTTGCAAATTCTGTTACTGTGTCATAATTCCTCGTTTGAAGGTTGTAGGGGTCAGAGGAACAACAACTTACAAGTAAAAACAACTAACCTCATAAAGTCGCACCGGTCTGTGTGACCAATACAAATTTCATATTTGCAGCTTCTAACGCCAGTATTAGTCTGAAAGCCTAAACTAATATATTCATATATTCAGTATTTTGTTCTTATTTGTAAACGTCTAACAAGTTTTACGTCACAAAATACAATCCTCAGCATGTGTAGGTAACGACTCCTTGTATTTTTCCTTCAAAGGTGTAGAGGCACTTCGGTACCAAATTCAGAATAATAAAGAACGTCATCTATTTGGATCCGAAAATCTCAAATACATTGGAAATAGTGATAAACTCAAATAAAGTTATTGTATTTCAAGCTTTTCAATCAAAATAAGCTGCCCACAGATCGTCTCACATTTTACTCGGGTCGATATTTAAGATCCAAGAAAACGAAATCCTACTTCCAAGGTTGACGATTTTCCATCAACCTTTTAAGTGGTATATTGAATCAGCAATTTTCTGTTGTCAACTTTCTAAAAAAACTGTTTTGTTCAGCGAGAATCATTTCGTAGAGCAGTCATGCCACGTCACTGCATCGTTTAAATTCATCCCAAATATCATCTGAATATACGCTAGCACTTGATCACTAGGACGATTCAATGACCACTTCCCGCTGGTATGGAGGTTAAATTGGATTGTCGTATGAAGTTCTTGGTCATTCAGTCCCTCTACCTGATGGTGTCTGTTCTATGACATCTTTTAACATTCGTCACTGTTTCGTAAAGAAGCATATACCAATTCAAAAGATTCGACATCGCTTAAAACAGCATAAATACAACATCGGGGTGCCGCCTTATCCATTATTAGGATGGGACTCACCTGGCAATGACCCTTTCAGTTTTATAAAGTGCTTCATAGACGGTGCTTTCTTCTTTGAACTACCTTAATCTTTTTTCCTATGCTGATACAATCATTCATTTTTAGTCTCCATTCTCTTATTAGTCCTATGGTCTGTACATCTGGAAACATACTAGTGTATTTTGCCTCCATTGATGTCTTGGAGCCGTTCTTGGCTTTATTTTCCGTCAAATGGTCTTTTACATTGGTTTTTAATTCAGAATACTTCATACCAGTAAGATCAGAACTGTCCTATTGGAGTACGGTAGCAACATGAGACCCGCATTCAGTTGTGTATCACAATGACCGCGAACGTCATAAGCTTTTCTGCTTAATTTTTGTTTCATCCATTTAAGCCCGCAGCCGGGTTCTACGCTGGGTAATACGTTGGTTCTAGCCATTTCGGAGATATCGTGAACAAAGCTCGACAGTGTAGTAAGGTATGTTTTCTGTTACTCGCCCCACCATTATTTCTTCCCTTATACATTCGCTTTTATTTTTCAGTCGAAAACAGATTCCCTTGACCACATGTATCATCAAGCTTTATTGTATCGCTAGTTTTATCATGAAAAAGAATATCAATTTATTCATTGATCCCACATAAAGATGTCACCAGATGAGGCACCATCTTAAAGTCCCGTAATGCAAGCTGTACTCGAATGGACGATTCGAAGTTAGTCTCCTCAAAGGCATTTTACACTGTTTTGGTGATTTGCACGTGGAATTGCAAGCTTTTGGGCATTTCCCCTGTGCCTTATTGTCAACCCACCAAACTTGTGGGAGTTTGAGTGAAAAAACTCTGCCTACATAATCACACCCTTATGCATCTCACATAGGAGGAAAAAGAAATTAGTAAAAAATAACCATTGTTCCTTGGTCATTCGTCTACACCAAGTGTCCCTGAACTGTTTCGTTGTCAATTTGATCTTCAGGTTTAGTATAACGCCACTGGTCTTTATACTTGGACGCATACTTCGTTACTGGTTGTTGATTACCTGGCTTTTGATATCTTTACCAAGCTTGAAAGCTGATTTGCACATGTTTCTTCACCATAGGAGGAGGCAACATTAGTGCGAGTCGGGCGGATAATTTCGCTTTGCCCGCCTGTGTTTAGATGGCGTTTAAAAGTTATCTGTCATCTCTTAATGTGATTACCTAGCTGAGTGACAATATTTTTCGCATCATTCAACTTACCACTCAATCTGTACAAACGCTTGCAGGCAGAGGAGTTACCATCTACATGCGCGCTATAGATATCTCTCTGCATAATAAAGAAATATTTGCAGATCATTTACAATCTTGGAGAACAGACCATCCAATAAACGCACCCAAGCTTCCAATATTTCGGTACACTACTATACTAAATCAAAATCAATTTCAAGAAGTAATTAGTAGTTCTCATTGTTTTTATTGTCATTCGTGCTGTCCGTATAAAACGGATTTAACGAAGGAAATTCAACATATACAACTGAGTTTCTGTTATTGATAAAGAGAATAGAGTTCACTCTTTATTTAGCTGAATGTTTTCAGCTTATTTTGCTCTGCCGAATCCGGAAAAGAGTAAACGGCGAGAAAATTTGCGTCGCTGAACTGCTACCAAAGTACAAGAAATGATGACATGTGGCACAACAGTCTCCAGACCTTTGCACTTGTGTTCAGTAGATATCCACAAATGTAGACCTCATGATCACTAACTAATTAATTTGAGCCAGCCAAAACGACTAGGCAGCCACGGATAAAGGTACTTGATGTATTGGCTTAAATCAGCACTTCCATACGTGCGTTTGTGTGTTTCCTTTTAAGGTGCAACGCAGTGCACGACACTTAAGGTAGTATTCCTTTGGTCGCCTTTCTCACATTTCAACTAACATTAAGTCAAAATTTAAGGACGATTATTCTTTGTTACATTACCAGGAGTGCCCCCATCAACTTCTCTTTGTGAACCGTGTTTCAAGAGCAACAACCCTGGTGGTTGGATTTGGACATATTCTTGTGACCGCAAAACAGGTTATTTTGAAAATGTGATATATCTTTAGCAGCTAAACTTATTATTACTAAGATTCTTAGCAGTAATTTAATCAAAGAAAATGGAGCAACAGGTTGGAAATACTGGTGTTTTTGTGGAATATACGAGCTTCATGCGACTGCTCTATGTTGCATCGATTTATAAGAACCCCTGGGTGGTGGAGAAAGATTGAAATGAACCGCATGTCAGTCAGAGGAAGGTGCCAATCCAGCTACCTTTTGAAATTAAGGATTTCAAGTCGTCCGCAAAAGGTACACATGGACTTGAAGGAACATCTGGAAGGTCGTTGAAGAAGATCGAAAACAGGAACGGGCCCAGAACGGAGGCTTCAGGGACTTTTATGGAGATTGGTGTTGGAGAAGAGTATATCAAGCTTAATTTCACTTAAAATGTTCTATCTGATAGGGACGTCCTAATTCAGCTTACGATTTCTCCTTAAATACCATAAGGCTGGAGCTTGTACAGCAGCGGACCATTTGGGAAGTCAAAAAGCATGGCGTCCGGTATCAGTCCCTTGTTCTTGGCTTGGGTTTAGGTGCTCATAAATACGAGCGTGTTTGTCACGCAATACCGGTTTGGGAGGAATCCATGTTGAAATGATGGTATCAAGGTTTTGGTACAGGGGTGATCTATAATGGTCCATTTCAGAATGCAATCTGTTATCTTGCATAGTAAGGCTAATTTGCCTGTAGCTGCTGGATCATAGTTTGTCACCAGTTTTGTAAATTGGCGTTACAATCGCTTCCTTCCCAGCAAATGGAACGTTGCCAGGTAGAAATTCGTTGCCAGTGTAATTACACTGGCTTATAAGCGACTTCCTCTTTCAGGAACTTTGTATGGACTTCATCTGGCCCCAACAAGCTGAAGGGATTTTTCTTGTGCAAGAGTTGACAAACATCCCCTTCCATGACGACCAAGTATCTTAGGGGCTGCTCGTAGTTACTTTTTGTCAAGACTGGATGTGACACGTTCGCTGTGAGGGCCTATATTCCGGAACAGGGGTTTGCATAATCTTCTCCACAGACCCCAGGACCACTCGTGTTTTCTTCGCTTTTTTTCTGTCAAGGTGGCTCATGTACTCAAATTGGACATTTTTGTTTTCCGGGCGAGGTCTATTATCACTGCCTGTGTTCGTATATCCCATTGGCAGATAGTTGATTTGAAGCGATCCCGCAATTATGGAAACGCCTGTGTCTTACGTGATT